CTCCTAAGGCCTGCTTCCCGGATCTGCATGCCTACAAAGTGCCTGCAGCTTCACGCAAAGAAGTGGGACGTTAAGGGAAATACAAGCGGCGGATGTGCTAGTCACTCAGAAGAAACAGCTTTGGAGATTGGACTCACATATATCAGATCGTTCCTTCAGTTTCGCCCAGTCCGCGGGGTCGTTGGGGAGGGAGTCGTCCACCTTGAGGCCGATGGTGCCCTGTACCCAACACACAGACTCGGCAAAGGTGGTAAAATGACCATCTGGGGCAGTAGGTAGGGTGCAGGAGATGGGTCGGAGGAAGTACACGTTTGTCATGGTAACGCCCGCCAGCACAAGGATGATCATGGAAGACACCATATGACTGAGCCGATCTGCAAAGTCCTCCAGGCTTGAGTAAGGATCACCGGAAAGGCTGCGATAGCGGACAAATCCATCGAGGATGCCCGAACCTAAATCGAAGGCTCCCATACCGTATGTGTACTTTTACGTTCGTCAACTAGTTTGTCTGTGTACAAACAAAAAATGAAAGAGGAACCCTGTCAACTGTTTTGTCACATCGTGTCTAGCTCTTGAAATACAAAATGCACAGGTTGGGAAGACTGGACAACTTCTTTATAGCTCATCTGCCACTTCTATTACTACGACAACCACCACCATCGCCATCGCAAGTTCTGACTAAACTGTTTGTCAAGGGAATAAGTTTTGAAATTATTAGGTGCACGACATGCAGTTAAGTGACCAAGCGCCTCTGATCCATAATGCCAATGACCAACCCCATCGAACATAGTTACGCTGCCAGAAAACTCTTCCCGTTCGAAGCAAATGTAGAAATAGCGCGACAACATCGATTGCTGCATTCAAAAAGGCCTCTATCGTCGCCCTTAATTCAACTCCGGCAACGATCCCGATCACCCCCAACACTACCAGCACTTTTCCCCCTCCTACCTGCATGGAGCTCACCTCGGACACCCCGTCACCCACTGACCCTATCACCGGCATCGGGGACTCGATCCCAAACTGTTCTAATTTCGATCACATATTCGCCTCGCGCATTGGCCTGGTCGGTCATTTGCAAATTAATCACACTGTGACCTAAGCACCAGTACCAGGAGCATCAAGATATAGTCGCCGCATTCGCCTCCACTGTCT